GGGGGGGGGGGGGGGGGGGAGAGACTTTTTTCAGAGTTATGGCTGCACGTAACAGGGACAGAGCCTAATCTTCAATCGACTCATCCACCTTTTCCTGCTTAACTGAAGCTGAAACCTGAGCTGCTCCTGAATACTGGTTTCCATGGGTTGATCTTTGATATTGAAAAGAGCCAAGTAGTCTCCATGTGCATGTATGTGAGAAAATACAGTAACTGTTAGAGCTAGTTAGGAATTCTTAAAGCAGCAATTGGTCAGTAAATGCTACTGCTTCAAAATCATGATCTTCTGTGCAGTGCACTAGTGTTGATGAAAATTTCATCAAGCAATACTTCTCAGGTCCAGGATGGAACTCCTAGTCAAATCCAGAGAGAGATCCATGCAAGAATGTCTAGTAGTTTGGTGGTTAGGTTATCCAGGTTTAAGTCTGCACTTGCAATTGGGCAGAAGCGCCCGTAATCATTTGGCTGTTCTGAGTGGGTAGATGTCAAATTAAGACATTCTTCGTTTTATCCTTATGTGGAAAATGAAAACTTTTGAAGGGTGGAAGAATTGTTTTAAACCTACTTCTAATAAGACTGCTAATCTCAGACATTCATAAAATTACAAATCATGCTCCCCAAAGTGGAGATTTTAAAAATAAATTTGGGTTGTTGTTATTTACTTACTGGATTTTGAACTTCTGGGGTGTGTTCAGGTCACATTTTAAATATTTTACGCACAACCATGAGGGCTGGAAATTTTCTGTGAATGAAAGATGATGAGCCTTTAAGTGAAGCATGAAGTGTTGCAACATATGTGAGAGAATGCATTTTATTTAATTAAAACATGAAATAGAAGTTCTCTTTGTCTGCAGTAAACTAAGTTACATAGAAGTGTAGTACAGCTCTGAAAAGTGATGCTTTACTCAACAGAGCTTTTCCCTATGTGTGTTCAGTCATGTTTACTTGGGTGTCAAAAATAATGTTCAGGTGGTTTGTTTGTTTTTTTAACTCCTGTTAACAGCCCCTGAGCGCCAACTCAGCTGTGTTGGAATGAGCTGTATTCTCTTCCTTCATGTGCATTGTCAACCTAATTGTCTGTTGAATTCCAGTGAGTTACATGTGTGCAAACTCTCAAAAAGCAATACAGAATTGTAACTGAAGGTCAGCTTTGTTCAAACAAGTGCTTTTATTTTGGCTACTTTGAAAGAGGAAGAAACACAATATAGTTCTCAAACTTTGAGTTGAATTTGCAGGGTTGGAGTTGTATTATTTTTCCACTTGTAAACCTGAGTCCATGACATCAAAATCTTCAAGCCACAATAAACCCAGAACTTCAGGATGCTTTTTTGAAGAGGAGCTTTTCCAAGTAGACTACCACTTTAAATTTTCAAGCAACTACATTTTTTTCTGTTCTGTTGCACATCAGAATATTATTTTAAAGAAAAATCCCCAACATTTCTACCTCTTCAATTGATCTAAGCTCATTTGAAGTTTTTTATGCATAATAGATGTACTTAGGAAGTCTTTGGGACATGTATTCAAATAGTGACTTTTACTCCATCCACAGCATCTTAAAAACCCACTCTGAGAATTACTTCAAGTGAAAAGTCTATAGATATAGGTATGCTTACCAACATGGAGGGCAAGTGTGGTTGGAGAAGGCATACAGGATTCCCTTGGAGCTTTCATTGTAAATTAGCTCTTTCTTCTTTACAATACTTTGCAATACAGAATATTTACATCAAGCCTAAAACCATCTGCAGTTGATGTAGCATTGGGCTGACCTTATTTCTATTAGTGAGTCTTACCCCATTCTTCCAGTGTTCAGCCAGCACAGGTTAAAATGCATAACTGGGAAACACACAGCTCCCCCTTTGTTGTCAGCTTGTCTTGCATAGTTTCTTCTTCCTCTGCCATAAATATTTTCTGGAAGCAAGAGCTTTCTACAGAGTAAGTGGCTGGCTTTGTGGGTTATGTTGAGGTTTAAGTGAATAAAACTGGAACCTCCAGATTGAGTTAATGTTCCATGTAGCCCCTGGAAGGAGCTAGTGTCTGCAGACGTTTGCCTCCTGAGCCATGCAGGGCTAAAGACCGTTCTGTGCAGGGAGTTAAGATGGGGCTTTTAGCAAGTTGCATCCCAGTTCCTTCCTGAGAATGAGACTATAATGGTCTTGACACAGTTGCTCTCTTAAAAGGTCTACCTCTCGGTATAAGTGCTGTACAAGCATGAATCCTCACCTATCAAGTACAGTGAATCTCATCAGGGGCTGCTTTGCTAGATTCAAAGCTGTTTAAATGACACTCTGTTGAAGGCAAAAAAAATCACTGAAAAATTTGCCTGTCTGCAGCTTCCTCAGATTACTGTGTATGCTTGGCATAAGTCAGTGCTTACCCCCAAAGAGCTGGAGGGGGGTAAAGGGAGTGTGTGTTTAATTGCATAAGTATGTTGAGGGAGTTATGGCAGTAGTAGATGGAGGGTGTCTGATAATTTGTGGGGCGAGCAAATATGCATATTCCAAGCCACACAGAACTTGAGATTTGTAGTAAAGCATTTCAAACTGTTCCTAGAAGCCTGGAGAACGAATAAGGCCTGGAGTGCTCTACTGAAACGGCTGCCATTGTTAAATCCATATTATAGTTAGTCTGCTACAGTTTCCACCATCACAACTCCCAGTCTCAAATACAACTTATTTTTTTTTACTGCAGTAATGGCAAATTTGTAACTTCTCTGCATGAAACATATAATACAGGGGTAGGCAACCCGTTACGCATGGCATGCAGAGGCATTTTGCTTGGCACTTGCTCTTTGCGGAAGGGGCCAGGGCTGCACTGACACAAGGATCAGGCCCCTTACAGCTTCCCCACTGTCTGTTGCTGGCATGCCAACCTGTTACAAATCAAGGTTATGGGTATTTTTGGCATTCTGCCCAAAAAAGTTGCCAACCCCTGCTATAATATTAGTCACACTTAAGTGACTGCAAACTGTAAGCTAATAGAATTAAAAAATCCCTTATTTTGCCAGCTTGCCTACACAGTCCCTCTGAGGATAGTTCATGAGCTCTTAAATCCAACTAGGATGAGAGAAACAAACAGTTTGCTGGTTACTGTTGCTTTCTCACATCCCTTGTAGCAATTATCAGATATTTGATAAGGAAATTTTGGAGTAGCTGTGATTATTAGTGTGATTTTTTTTTTTTTTAAACTTGTATTAGCTGAGAATAAATTACACATAATATTATCTACTTCCTTTTCTGTTAGCCCAACGGTGGTGTTCCCCATGACAATCTTGTTCTGATCCGAATGAAACCAGATGAAAATGGGAGATTTGGCTTCAATGTAAAGGTAATGCAAATCTGCGCACTTTCACAGAATAACCTTGAAAAACGTGACCTTTATGATTTGTAACTTGCCAAATTTTTCTTTTGAAGGGTGGATATGACCAGAAGATGCCTGTAATAGTGTCTAGAGTAGCCCCAGGAACACCTGTAAGTAGTCAAAAAAATTTTTGATGTGATATTTGTTTAATTAGATACATATTCAGAATCCTCATAGTCATTTCCTTTGACTTTTTTCCTTGGATGGAAAATATTGAATTCATACCCAGCTAGGAATAAAACTGTTCATATAGTATTTGCTCTGCCAAGCTATCAGTTGTTCTTTTAACAAATATCAAGGACAATAAAAAGTCCTTTTTTAGATATGTGGGGAGCCGGAGGAAAAGCAAGGGCAACATTGGACCCCTGCTGAACCAGATGGGGCAACTGACAAGTGACACCCAGGAAAAAGCTAACTTGCTAAATGGGTACTTTGCATCAGTTTTCCATCAGCCCCATGGGACGGCCCTGCCCACTATGGGTCAGGGAGGCCCGGGTGAGGGAGATTCTTTGCCCTCCATCGAAGCTGACCTCGTGAAGGAACACCTTGACAGGCTGGATACCTTCAAGTCAGCCGTCCCTGATGGGTTACACCCAAGGGTACTCAGGGAGCTGGCAAGCATCATAGCTCAGCCCCTGGATCTTTGAGAGTTCCTGGTGCTCTGGTGAAATGCCTGATGATTGGAAGAGGGCCAATGTCGTGCTGATCTTCAAGAAAGGGAGGAAAGTAGATCCGGCAAACTACAGGCCCATCAGCCTGACCTCTATCCTGGGGAAAGTCTTGGAAAAGATTATCAAGGAGGCCATCCTTAACAGACTAGCTGAAGGCAATATCCTGATGGATACCCAGCATGGGTTTGTTGCGGGTAGGTCTTGCTTGACCAATCTCATTTCCTTTTATGACCAGGTGACTTATCACCTAGACAAGGGGGAAGAGATCGACATTGTATACCTCGACTTTAAAAAAGCCTTCGATCTGGTATCCCACGATCACCTCTTGGTTAAACTGGCTAACTGTGGCCTTGATGTCACCACGATCTGCTGGCTGGGGAATTGGCTCTGCGGTAGGACCCAGAGGGTGGTGGTCAACGGGAGCCAATTGTCTTGGTCTGCTGTGACCAGTGGGGTCCCACAAGGCTCTGTCCTAGGGCTTACACTGTTTAACATCTACATCAGTGATGTGGACATTAGTGTCAGAAGCGGACTGGCCAAGTTTGCCGATGACACCAAACTCTGGGGTAAAGCATCCACACCTGAGGACAGGAGGGTGATCCAGGCGGATCTGGACAGACTCATGAAATGGGTGGAGGAGAACCTGATGGTGTTCAACACCGAAAAATGCAAGGTTCTCCACCATGGGAGGAAAAACCTGCAGCATGCTTATAGGCTCAGTAGTGCTACGCTGGTTAGCTGTACAGATGAAAGGGACTTGGGGGTCATGGTTGACTACAAGATGAACACGAAAGCAGCGGGTAAGTAAATGTTAGTTTTAAATGGCTTGCTGACAACATCAAACTTTAGGGAAGAGTGTTCACACTTGAGGATAGGCTGATGATCCAGGCTGACCTTGATAGGCTTGCAAGGTGGGCGGATGAAAACCTAATGGCATTCAGTACAGAGAAATGGAAGGTGCTCCACCTCAGGAATAAAGGCCTGCATCACACTTACAGGCTTGGCAATGCTACGCTCACTAGTGCCATGACCAAAAGAGACTTGGGGGTCATGATTGACCACAAGATGAATACAAGCCACCAATGCAATACTGCAGCTGGCAAAGCGAACAGAACCCTGGCTTGTATCAACTGATGCATCTTGAGCAAAACCCAGGATGTCATCCTCCCGTTGCACTCTGCATTGGTGAGGCTGCAGCTGGAGTACTGCATCCAGTTCTGGGCTCCACAATTTAGAAAGAACGTGGAGAAGCTTGAGAGAGTCCAGAGGAGAGCTATGCGCATGCTCAGAGGGCAGGAGAACAGGCCTTATAAAGAGAGGCTGAGAGCCTTGGGACTCTTCAGCCTGGAGAAGCACAGGCTCAGGGGGGACCCAGTGGCTGCCTATAAGTACATCAGGGGTGTGCATCAGGATCTGGGAGAGTGTCTGTTCACCAGAGAGCCCCAGCGGATGACAAGGTACAACAGTCACAAACTCCTCCAAGACAGTTTTAGGCTGGACACAAGGAAAAACTTCTTTCCTGTCCAAGCCCCCAAAGCCTGGAACAAACCCCCCCCAGAGGTGGTGCAAGCACCTACTCTGGACACTTTCAAGAAACATTTGGACGCCTATCTTGCTGGGATCCTTTAACCCTAACTGACTTCTTGCCCCTTGGGCAGGGGGGCTGGACCTGATGGTCTTGCAAGGTCCCTTCCAACCCTGGTGTCTGTGAAATCTATGCAATGTATTGACAAGACAACTTGAATAGTGTTTTGGTTTTTTTTTTTAACAACTAACTGAAAGACACAAATGTAATGATATTTTACACACAGGATAATAAAATACAAGATGAAGTCTCCCAAAATTGCTTTAATGTGATTGCTTTTATTACGTACTTTTCTAAAAAGTTAACTACTTGCATTGCAAGTGGTGGTTGGGAGTTCTTAATTTTTTTAGGGTTATCTGAGGGAAAACAGAGTTTATATTGAAGTAATTACAAGGGCTTATAATACCCAGTCAGAGCTACGCCTTGAGCCCTGATTCGGAATGCCACGTTCATTCTAAAAACATGTTATTTATTTAACCTTAATTTATTTGTTTATTTTAGTGCACATTTTTCATTTAGGTATTCATGCAGTTTAGTCCCGTAAATCCTATGTGAAGATTTACAGCATAAAAGCAAGTTTTAAAGTAAAACTAAAAATTGCAAATCATTTTTGTTTTTACTAACATATAGTTGTAAGTAATGCCAAGATTTAGATTAAATCAGACATCATGAATCATTCATCGTGACTGATTCTCTGTTGTTGTTTTTGGTGTTCAGTAGCTACCAATAACGTCTTCAACTAGGCACAATATTTTGACAGCTGATTACCAGAAATAATGACCTGGTATTCGGTCACATTAATGCCAGCTCAGTGCTGTTTGTACACCTGTTAGAATAGAAGAAGATGTATGTTTGCCAACATTAAAAAAATTAAGCTGAATTACCTTTTTGTTTTTAAATGAAAACATTAAATATATGTGTTAGCAGGCTTAAATTGTTTTCGTTGTCATTAAACTTTTTTTATTTGTATAGTAGCTAATTTTAGATCAATGAATTAAATATCTAGCGAAGCTTGATGCCAAAGACCCTGATTAAACTGCGATACGATCAGTATTTTCACTTTGGTTCTTGCCAGAATTACTGGTTACTGGTGCATTTCTTTTGGTCTTCATCACGCTTTTGTTACCGTGAATATGGTAGAAGCTTGCGAAACTGAATTGGACAAGATTTTGCTGTGCTGCTTCCTTCTTTCTGAGAGTGAAGCATGTCCTGCTTTCCTGCTGCTAATGCAGAATATAATTGAAACACAAGAGCTTATCCAAGCTTTCAGCTTCAGCAGACAGTATTAGGGGGGAATGTAACACCTGCCAAAAGATACTAAAATGAGTCTCCTCTCAACTCGGAATTGAAGCATTCCTGTGAAAGGCACCGTCTGTTTTGTGTAACACTTAACGCATCATTTTAATGCAGTGTGGCCACCATAGCAACTTGTCTGGTAGAGTTCAGATTCCTCAGCATGGATACCCTGTTTGAGTTGTTGCTTTAAACTAACAAAATATGAAAGCCTTGTCCTTACAGTGCTGTTTGTTTAAAAAAAACCCAAACCTTCATTTGTTTTGTGTTGCAGGCTGACCTCTGTGTCCCTCGTTTGAATGAAGGAGATCAGGTTGTCCTGATTAATGGCAGGGATATAGCAGAACATACCCATGATCAAGTTGTCATGTTTATTAAAGCTAGCTGTGAGAGGCACTCAGGGGAACTTGTGCTCCTTGTTCGACCCAATGGTGAGTGATTCATGGGTAACAAAAATCTCTCCCCCCTCCCTTCTTTAAGCTTAATGTTGTGTATTGGGATATGGATGCTAATAAACTTGATGAAGGACCTCCCATTTTAAAAAACTCGTTCAGGTTGAAACTAGACAACATCATATATACACACAAATAGTATGTAGTATATTCCTCTGTTCCTAAAATAGTCACTGTTCAGAATGAATTTAAATGACAGAAATTGAGATGAAATCTTATATTTTTTCCTGAGTTGCATTTGGTACTAACGGCTGTCTGATGGTACAAATTGAGTCCAGTTTTTACTCACCCGTACCCCAGAATAGCAATTTGTATGTCTTTGATTACCAGATAAATATGAGCATATTCAAGGATCTGAGATTTCTTCTAAGCAACCCAGAACTGTTGGTATTGTTGCTTTTGGAGGGAGCTTAATAGAAAAAGTATTTAAATGTAGTTTTAATGACAAGCTTGTACAGTATGTTCATAGTGTATACTGTTGAAATGCAGTCAGAAGGTGGCTACTGGGTTTTTTTCTGCTGCACTACTCAGTCACAGTAAAGAGCCTTGTAGCAGAAAAGTATAATGAGAAACAATAAGATTTAATTTGAATCATTCTGCTAGAGCACTTCATCCAACTGACAAATGATTTTTGCTTCATTCACTTGGTCATTCATTCATTTGTTTGTTCGTTCATTCATGCATGTTACTTCCCTTTCTGGGTATTTAAGCTATTTCATTGTTTTATACATTTTCTCTATTTCATAAATTCTGCAGAATTTGTTTTCAGATTTGCCAAGGTGTAATATCCCTTGGGATGTTGGTTAGAATTGTAGCTTGAATAAAAACACTTATATTGTAGCATTTAAAAGTAGACATTATATACTCCTGCGCACTTTCACGTTATTTCATTTTTATGGCCAATTTTTTCAAAACAACGCATGTTTGTTTGTACTACTATGCATTCTGTACAGATAGTGAATGGTCTGCTAGTCAAGTCCTCATTAATAAACCCAATGCTAAATGAAATACAAAGTAAAAACATAAGCGCAGCTACTACAGTGTCTTCACATTTCAATGCTAGAAATAGGGAAGCAATTGAGAAAATTACAGTAGGCAAGATATGAACTACAATTTGGATTTTTGCAATATGGCTAGGAAAGGGAATGATGCAAACTTAATTTTTTGGTGGACCATAATGACTACAGATTTCCTTGCTGTTGCAGGTTCAAGTGAGAATCATTATGGTACACTAGCCTAGATTTTGATACAGGAGGAATGTAAAAAGACAAGCATTCCATGTACCATCCAAGGGAGAGCCTTGCTCAGCCGCCCTGTGTTTTTGTTGTAGCTGTCTATGATGTGGTAGAGGAGAAGTTGGAGAATGAGCCTGACTTTCAGTACATCCCTGAGAAATCCCCACTGGATGGTATCCATCAAGATGATAATGCTCTGAGGGAATCTATGATTCAGCTAGCAGAGGGGCTCATCACTGGAACTGTTCTAGCCCAGTTTGATGTAAGTATTGTCTGTAATTGTTTGCAGGTTCCAAGTTTGTAATTTTCAAACTTTACTGATATTTAAATGAGTTTAGACTATATGTACAAGACAGTAATTTGTGTCATAAAGAACTAACAATTACCAAATAATTTTTGTATTGAATATTACAGTGCAGAATAAAGTAAGTGATATCTATTCCTAAATGTTATTATAAAGAACTTTAAAATAAAAAAATTTTAAAATTTAAAAAATGATTTATTATGAAGATCTTCTACTTATTTAACACTTTTTCATTCCTGAAAATACCAAAAAGTTGCAGACTCTTGTTCTGTACGTAAAATGATTTTACTCACCGCTGAGCTGAAACTCAACTTAATACAGGTATTCAGGAAATATAGAATACTGTGCCCAAGTGACTCTGCAGGCACAGTTTTAGAACAATTAGAATTATTCCTAATGTTAGGAAAACACAGTTGCATTTTTATAACCAATGATTGTATGACTGACTTGAAAATGGAGTCACCTAGTACCAAGATGGTATATTTAGTCACAGAGAAGAGTGCCATCTACTTCCTCAAGAGCCAGCTGTTCCTTGGTGGTATCTCATCAAAGTATTGACAAAGCTTCACACCTCTGAAATCAGGTGAATTTAAAGCACATGGTACTGTGGTTGGAAGGGAGAATATATCACATCAGTGTTCTCAGCCTTTCAGCCCCACATGCCAGTTGAGTGGCCAAGCAGCAGTCTGTAGGCCTGATCTCACACGTGGCATTGGTCTACAGGCCTGATGTAGTGTGGGGTTGGTCCATGGGTGGGAACCAGCATGCCTGGCTGATCCTGTACACTGGATCTGGTTGTGGACTGACTCTGCGCTCCAGCTCTACCCTGACACAGTCTAGTGCACGGAGAGCCACATCCAGGGCTGTCCTTTGGTGGAGGGTGAATTGGGGCAGCTGTCCCGGGCCCCACGCTTTGGTGGGCCCCGTGGAGCTGGGCAGGAGCTGGGCGGAGTAGCTGCAGTCCCACTCCTCACAGTGTTACCAGAGGCCTTGCACAGGCTGATTTGCCCTGAGCCCCGCACCCCCCCTACGGTTGTCTCTGGCCACATCATCTAGCCCACAGGACTCCCCATAGATCCAGAAATTTGGCAGCAGGGGAATGGCTATTAGTGCTGCCACTGCTCCTCCACTGACAATTTTCTGGACCTATGGAAAGATGTGTGGGCCAGATGATCTGGCTTTGCGGGCTAGATGTTGGGCACTGCTGTATTACACCAGTGAAATGTCCATTTGACAAGTTATGTCCCTTTTTCACATAATGTATTGTGGCATACTCTTATAGAGACCTGATTATGCTCTTGCTGCAGAAGTCCTTGGCAAAGTTTTCACTGCTCTAAAGGAGACCAGGACAAGACCCTACAGTAGAAGTGTTTTGAGTATGCTCTATTGACCGAGTTTTGATCAGAAGCATTTTGGGGCAAGTTTTGCTCAGTAAGAACTCACAGCAGCTTTCATAGTCCTTTTTGGCTCTGTAATATCTATGGCTATCCCATGGAAACTGGAAGTAGAAACTGGTTTTCTTCCCCAAATTGTTTCTTCCGTGTCACGTGTGTGCACCTATATATTTGTTGCTTATTACTGTGTGGTTGCTTGTGTGGCCTCTGTATGATCTCTTTTTTCTTAAAGCTAAGAGTTCAAGCACCCGTTTTGTTCAAAACAATATAACAGTAGCACAAATTTCACAAATATAAAGGGAAAAGTAGGGTGTTTTTCCAATCTTCTGTCTGTTTAAACTGTAAATTGTGATCTAAGGCAATGCCTTATTAAGCCTATTGAATTGAATCTTGGTTGACTTTAGTCAATCTTATTTTATGTAACCTATTAAAACTATGCTTTAAGGAAACCCATTTTCCATTTCAAATCATATTTGTTTTGCATGCACATAGAGTAATGATTTTATCTTTCATTTTAATTTCATGCCAGAATTTAAATAAGATAGCCTCTGGTGCCATCAGGATCATTTCTAATCTCACTTTTCATCTCCTGCTTTCTTTGTTCAATTGCAAGTAGAGACAGAATTTGAACTATTGTGCTTATTTTACTGTGGCCAAATTTAACCTGAAAGTAAATAGCTGTTGTGTTAACCCCCTTTGCTTTAGATGAATGTTTACCCATCTACCTCAACAGGAAAAGAAAGGTCACAGAATGATGACAGTAAATAAATTATATTGGAAAATTGTAAGAGGTGTGATAAATGTGGTTCATTTTTATTATAATTCAGTTTAGGAGAGTACATGTAAATAAGCTGTGGTTCAAAAATCACTCAAACCCTTATGGAATATTAGAAATTGTCACCTTGTACCTTGAGAGAATTTGCTAGAGGCATTTAAAAAGTGATGTGAAGGGAGAAGCTAGTTACATCATGAATGTGATGTTGGAAACTGAGTAATGCATCTCCAAGGAAGAAATAAATAGTAGGCCTAAATTAAGTACTAAAAAGGCTAACACCCCCCCCTCCCCGAAAAAAAAAAAAATCCAAATGATTTTTCTGAACTTAGATTCAGATTTATATATGCTAGTGGAAAAGGAATACAGAATCTATTTTTTCCAAACTTTGTTCTTGAATGATCTTACACTTGCTCTCAATCTAATAAAAATAATATATGAGAAGACCAACTAGCATCATTCATATGTCATGAACACATGCAAGTTCTGTAACTGTATTTGTGCAGTCTCCTTTCCTTCTGCTCAGTGGCATATTTCCTAGATTTGTCACTTTACCTGATTGCAGGAGGACCATATTTATTTTCCCTATAATGCAACATGCAGCCCTATATCAGTGGTTAAGGAGATGACATAGAATTTCTAGAAAATTGAGTTTGTCTTGCCACGATCTTCATTTATTTTTATCTATGCTACTTCATGCTTCAGGGAGATCTTTTGTCTGTTCCGTTGAACTGAGCTGTCAGCTATAGGCAGTTGGTCTCTGCATTCCTGCATAAATACCCCTGGAACTCCCTGGCGCATGTTCATGTAATGGCAGGATGGGATCTGATCCCCAGCCACAACAGTCATGCCTTCTGCCATGCCCCATTTGCATGGCAGGAGACATGATTTTGAGACTGGGAATCAGTTCCTCAGTTCCCAATAGCAATGGTGCTAGTGGGCTCCCCCTGCACTAGCAAGTTGAAAGTGGGGTGCTCACATGAAGGGCTGACAACCAGCTGATTGTCAAAACCCCTGTGATGGGCAGCCTGGCCTGGGGGACTAGAGAGGGGATAGCAGCCCAGCCAGGCTAGGGGTAGGGAGCAGAGGCTTCCCCTGCCAGGGATGTCACATCCTCTGTCACACCCTCTGCCAGGCAGCCTGGCCACAGGGTTTTAAGTCACTTGCAGAGCCTCTGCTCCCCCCACCTTGGGCTGGGCCAGCAATCCTCTACTTGTCAGTCTCAGCCCCAGGACCACGGTGGAGCCAAGTTTGAATTTTGGTGTGGTCTAGGGGCTGGGGGAGCTGTCAAATAAGCCCCACCATGCAGGCAGCATCAAGCTGCAGTGGGGCAACCCCTAGGGCATTCAGTTTAAGTTGTGATTAAAACCAGCCACAAAATTATTTCACTGTTTGTGGAATAATTTTGTAGCTGGTTTTGCATTTTGTCTCACAATTCATTACCTGAGCATGCAGCTGCGTTACTGTGAGTTAAGATGCAATTAACAGGTTAATTGCGTCTTAAATGTAACATCCCCAGGTAAGCCTGAGAGAGAGATTAATTACAACACTGCATATAAATATGAGACAAGGTTTGTGGCAGGATCTGGGGGGAACAGCAATGGCATAGCCAGTGGATCTCTACGTAGTATGGAACTTCTGGCCCAGAACACTGTATGAAGATGCAGTCGGGCATTTCCTCTACTCGCACAGTGCCATTGGATATTGACCTTTAATTGTTTTTAATGCCTCCTTGGAGCTTAGGCTTCCATTTCTTAGTCTTCATGAGCAAATTTACTGAATGTGTAGGTGTTTGACTGACCTGTGAAAAGTCAGGAAGTATTATGGTTGCGAGCAGAAAGAGTGTGTGAAGTATGGTAATCTGCTTGTCACTTCACGTTTGACAAGTGCCTACATGTTAATAAGTCTTTTTCTTCCTGCTTTTATTTAATCAATTTTATTCTTTTTTTTTTTTTTTAGCAATTATATAGAAAAAAACCTGGAATGACAATGTCTTGTGCCAAATTACCTCAAAACATTTCCAAAAATAGATACAGAGACATTTCGCCTTGTGAGTATTTGTGTGTATATGTTTGTGTGTGTGCATGTGCGTGCATGCATGTGCCCATGTGTACACACATACTTGGTTTTTTAATTTAATATTTTATTGTACTTACTAGATAAATAACATTAAATTTAAAATTATTTTCAGATGATGCTACACGGGTCATTTTAAAAAGTCATGAAGATTACATCAATGCAAATTATATAAATGTGAGTAGATTTCTGGATAAAAGCATTTGACTTCTATTGATTTTTAGAGTTTCTTTATGGAGAACTTAAAAAATAAGATAATTAACCCTTTCTTAAATCTTCCTTAAATGTAACCTGGGCTGGAATGGCTGGGAAATACTTTCATCAAATGGCTAAAATGTTAATAGGTTTGTTTATAAAAAGCAGTGGTTAATTGGTTCCTAATTCCTCTTGGTGAAATTGAGAGACTTTATATACAGAAATAAGGGTTTGAATTTTAGTTCAGAGGGAGTTGTTGTTGGGGAAAAAGTAGCCCTCTAGGGAAAGAGTTATTTCCAGTTTGCATATGAACATTGTGGTGGTAGTTTACAAAATCGGTGAAGTTCAGTTTGGGAAAAGTTGCAGTAAGTCTTTTGTCGGCTTGTAGCCAGTAACAAAGAAACTATGGCTAGTGACTTCATTTCAGGGACCCAAAGCAAAGATTTTTATTTTAAGATTTATATTTAATTTATAAAAATATAAGCATCTGATATTGGGCATACTGCTGGCTAAACTACCATCTTTGATGGTATATAGGTCAATGCGGTGTGTAAGTCTACTCCATTTTTCTGATCCAAAAAGTTAGGAATTTCATAGATCCGGTGCATAAGGCAACCTAATTTTTTGGATCAGAAATCTGAGGTTGGCTTATACCCACCCCCACACGCCCTCACTGCAGGCCAGGCACCTGGCGGGGTGAACACATGCCTCAGGACTGCTCGCAGGGGACAGGTCTAGGCTTGGCTGCTGCGGCCCCATCCCCTGTGAGTGGTGCTGCCTGGGCCATGCCAGTGGAGCACTGAGCCTGGTGTTGCTCACAGGGGATGGGGCTGCACCAGCTGAGCCTGACCCTGTCTCTTGCGAGTGGCTCCGGGCTCGGTGATAGGCTGGTGCAGTCCATGTAGTACCGCTCACAGAGGATGGGGGCATGCCAGCTGAATGCCAAGCCCAGCACTGATAGCAGGGGATGGGACTAGGCTCAGTGTTCAGCTGGCATGCCCCCATCCCCTATGTCAAGCCTGGCCCTGTGCACTGCAAGCGGCGTTGCCAAGGGGTGAGCCCAGCCCCATTCCCTGCGAGCAGTGCCAGGCTCGGCTCTTGGCAGCACTGCCTGCAACAGACAGGGCCAAGCTCGGCACATATTAGCCAAGAAGGGTACTGCTTGGGCCACGCCAGCCGAGGCCAAGCCTGGTACCACTTGTAGGGGATGTTGATGTGGTGTCAAGGTTGAATTTTAAGAATTAAAAGTTGGGCTTATACACGATGAAATGTGGTATTTGGGCACTTCACTATAAAGCTTGTACACATCTTCATCATTTTGACCAATCGTATTGAGTGTGTAGATATTGTGCTACTAAATAATTCTGTCAGGAAATGAGAAGACCTTTCCTCTGAGTGGCAGGGTTTTTTTTGTGCGCCTTTTTCAGTCTGTGGTTTGTTGATGGATAGATTGATCAATTTTGATAGATTGATTAATATTATTGAATCATGCTTTCTGTCTTTGTATAGGTTTCAGTTATCCATCCAATACTAAATTTGGGTTATATAAAATTGCTATGAGAGTAATGCTGTTGAAGAATTAAAATATGGTTTTGTTTTCTCTTAGATGGAGATCCCTTCTTCCAGCATAATAAATCAGTACATTGCTTGTCAAGGTCCATTACCAAACACTTGTCCTGATTTTTGGCAAATGACTTGGGAGCAAGGTTCAGCTATGGTTGTAATGTTGACTACTCAAGTTGAGCGAGGCAGAGTAAGTCCAAGTTGTGACTTGAACTTTACCTTAATAGTCTTTGAAAAATTTTTTGGGGCATTTACCTTAAAAGACATGGCCAGTAGGATAATTACATAACTTTTATGGCTGTTTTTGCTAGTTAAGGTTCCCTACTCATACATTTGTTTGTGTGTGGTGTCATCATGATATCACAGCAATTACCTGCAATACAATGGAGACCTTGGAGAAGGGGCACCAGATCTGTGCATCTGTCTTAAATGTGCCACTACTTCTAAGCCATGCCTCTGTGCTGTTCAGTATTGCCTGTTGATATTTGTGGGTTTGCAGATTAACTACTTTGTTGGGTAATCTCTTTTTACAGAAGATTTTTAGGTTCTTTGATTAGTCCTAACAGTTCTCAACCTTGTTTTCAAAACATACTTCAGCTGTAGTGACCCAAATGCCTCAAACCCAGGGATTGTGGCACTTGCCTCGTAAACCGAGGGATTGTGGGTCCAGGTCCCCACTTGGTTAGGAGGTCATCTCTGCTGCTTTATTTTCAGCTAAAATCGATATTATAATATATTAATCTGCATCTTAATATATTAAACTGCTTATGTAAAAAATTAATAAATAATTAAGTAGATCTGATTATTAGAAGTGCTAATGTAGATGTTGCCTTATCTGCTTCAGCTAATTTCACAAAGATAAAATGTGCTTCAGATGCAACTGTTTTGAGTTTGTCTCCTGAATAATTTGGTTTGTTGCATTGCCTCCGTCCAGGGAATCAGTTGTTATCACATGCCTGATGTTTTTCATATTGTATTCTTGGTAAACTGCTTAAAATATTAAGTAATAGTTGTGAAATGAGGTTTTCTGGGGGGGTAATCTTTTTTGTTGGATTGACTATATAATTGGGTGAGGTCTTATACAAGCTTTTTGTTCATATTGTGCCCATAGTAAGGTCTTGGAAAGAAGCAAAGATGGTCTTAAACTAAATACCAGATAGAACAATTCCATTTGTTTTAACCCCATTATGGAAATTAAATGGCTACTTAAAATAAAGAGGGCAGTAGATCTGTGGAAACAGGTTATCAAAAATAACTAAAGAAGGCACTTTAGGCACTAGAAGTGCACTTTATAAACTAACACAATTGCATAAGCTTTCATGAGTCACAGCTCGCTTTATCAGATGCTTTGAAAGGACATGTAGGGAGCAGGTTCTCAAGTTCAGTAACTACAGACCAAGTCAAGTGCAGCTGAAATAGAACAATGCAATTATGTAAAACAATAAAACCATTTGAAAAAGGAAGAGGGTTGTTATTATCTGGAACTTTTGAATATATAAGGATAATGGCCAGATAGCTGCATTTGTTAAATAATTTAACAAAATTTCACTAAAATTTCAACATTATTCATAGTTTTCTTTGGTGGGTTTTACAAACAATATCTATCATCCTGCCCAGAAGAATGGGTCTGCGCTTTGGATAGACTAATTAATTCAGACTTAATACAGCTGTGTGTATATGCATTCTAACTTTTAATATAACCATGTATTTGCTGTGGTTGTCTGACCCACCAGCTATAATTAATAATGATAGGGATGTTGAAATGTTTTAAAACTATTTGTTAATTCCTCTGTTTTAGTAGGTGATTCTCTGTTCCCAAATAAGCACAATGAGAGGGAATTTCAGTGCAAGTGCACTTTTAACTTACTTCAGTGCTCTTTGAAGATCTGCTAAGAACAGACTCCGTATAGCAGTTCTCTAAGGTGTTTTTTTACACTGATATTTATAGAATTCTTTGAGAGCTGCTAAACATGGAAATAAAAAGACTTATTTATCTTATACCCATAGGCAGACTCCCTGCTCTAAAGCTGATCGTGGGGCTACTGACGTCACTATCCCACTGCATGCCGGGGTGTCTCAGTGGAGCAGGAAGTCTGCAAATCTGGCTGCTCTTAGAGAATCTGCCAGGTGGGTTGGAAAGATAAAAAGTACACTTGAGCTGAAATGACCGCTATTGATATTGAGTCTTTTGAGCAGTTGGTCATAAAGATGCATATTTTTTAAGTTCTCGTTTAACCTTTAAGATTTTTGGTAAACCCACCAAAGTCCACCACCCACACTCTTTAGTTTTCTCCCTATTGGTGCTTTGTCACGGCTTACAGCCGCCGCCTTCTTTTCACTTTTTTTGTGTAAATAAGCTTTAAAAGAGGATTATTGGTCAGAAATGGATGCAAGACAACCCGTTTCACTGGTATCAAGATGGACTATTAGCTTGATACTTACCAAAAGAGTAGTATCAGAAGTTACTCACAATTTTATAGGAAACTGAACTTGAGTTTTACTGCCTTTATGAAGGAAACATCATTGAAAAGAGAAGCAGGAGTTTATATATAGTACTTTACTTTTTGTACAGTAATCAGGTAAAAAGATGCTACAGGCAATGTTTTATAGTTGGTGTATTTAGTTACCAGTGACTTAATAACATTTTCAAAGTGATTTTTTTTACTAAATACAGAGATGCATAGAATATTATTTTTAACCGTCTAACAATTGCATCTTTGAAAATCTGTTGACCTTAGGTTAAGTGCCATCAGTACTGGCCAGAGCCTACAGGAAGCTCATCATATGGGAATTTCCAGATTGCCTGCCATTCAGAAGAAGGAAATCCTGCTTATGTCTTCAGAGAGATGACACTGACTAACCTAGAGGTAAAACCACACTGTGGGTTTTAGGGTAATTCTGTAGAATCCTCAAAGTAAAACTCCCTAATTGCAGATTTTCTCTTCAGCATTATGGCACATTCTCTTTGGAGTATACCCATTTGATTATTTTAGAATCCGGTAGAAAATTAGCTTTATTATAAGGTTCTTTCTTGTGTGAATTATTTTCTCTAAATGAATACATGACTTTTGCCACTGCATTTTTGTGATGAAAATATTTGTGGAATAACACATTTATTTAATCCTGTGTGTTTCCATTGGCTTTCCTCAGAAACAGGACCTAGATGTACCATGGCAAATGTAAGTGACTCCAAATACAGTCAGGGATCAAGTCTGGAGAGGAAGGTTGCTTTTCTGTAGGAGCTTTCCTTCCTGACCGTAACCACAACTGAACACACAGAAACCCTAAAATAAGCCCAATGCCTGTTTTTATCCGTCTACAAACAAACAACCAAACAAATAAAATATACACCCTGATGTCTTGAATCTTCTGGAACCATGGATAGCTACTCTGTAAAAACTTGAAGCTGAAGAGTATAGACAGGCAAAGGGTGAGAGCTTGTGGGTAGGGTGGACTGTGGTCCGAACTCTCCCATGGGTAGTTTTCAGACTGTGGAATGAACCCACCCCTTCCCAAAGAGCTAAGGACCACCACAAACTTCTAATGAAATATCTACAGTTTAGCTGCACATCAGTAAATTAAACTCCCTGATAGTAATGCCAGATTACACGCTTTTCCATATCTAAACTCATTGGAGAAAAAGCAAAGTTCCTTTTTGACTTCTTTATACTCTTACACATGGGACATCCTAGCAGGTACAGTTCTGATGATGAACCTTCATTATAGCAGTGCCTGCTAGAGCGCTTATGTGTTTTTTCCAGTCCTGCATCATATTGCTCCTGGATGTTTTGAGTGTGCTGCCTAGCAAGCAGATTGGGGGCCCACGCGCACCCCTGGGAGGGCTGTGGTGGCTCTGCCAGACTCCTCCCAGGGGTATGGGCTTGGAACCAGTGGCAGCACCAATCTTCCTGGCACTGGGTGTGGGCTGTGCCCAGAGCTGGTCCCAGGCGGCAGTAACAGCCTCCTGTGATCTAGCAGACATATCAGGGGCCCGCACCCCTGGAAGGAGTCTGGCAGAACCCCACAGCCTTTCCGGGGGTGCAGGCAGGCCCCTGATAATGCTGGATGACAGGAGGCTGCTCCTGCCGCTTGGGATTGGTGTTGGGCACAGCCTATTTTAGCTTTCAGGCTATGCTAAAATTATCAGTTACTCTTTGAAGGGGTTAAATTTTTTTCATAAGCATCCTATCTTTAGTAGACCTTAAGATTAAGTGAAAGGCAAGTATATTCCTTGTTTTCAGACTTAATATCAGAATTGTGAACAATTGAGCAGTGATGTCATATTTTCAATACCTATTTTGTTCCAAAAATGCTGTATCTGACCAACTTCCAGAAGAGCATAGGAAGTTAGCCAGTGCCTCTGGGTAGTGGCAAAACATTCTCTAAAAATGTCATTTTCTATTTTATGCATGTTTTTAAACCAATACACTCATCACAGTATCAGAATTGCTTCCAGTAGGACATTAAGCAGTGTGATTACACATACTATTTTTTTCATATACTTCCCCCAGAGGGAGATAAGTATATAATGAACTGCTTAATTTTGGTAGGGTTAGAGTGATTTTAATTTTTGTTGTTGTCAGTTTGAGAAGACAAGGTCAAAGCACTGTGCCTTGGCATGGGAGTGGAAGGTGTTCAAGTTTGTGGTGGTCCGTAGCTCCTTGGGAGGGGATGGGTTTATTCCACAGTCTGAAAACTACCCATGGGAGAGTTTGGACCACAGTCCACCCTACCCACAAGCTCTCACCCTTTGCCTGTCTATATTCTTCAGCTTCAAGTTTTTACAGAGTAGCTATCCATGGTTCTAGAAGATTCAAGACGTCAGGGTGTATATTTTATTTGTTTGGTTGTTTGTTTGTAGACAGATAAAAACAGGCATTGGGCTTATTTTAGGGTTTCTGTGTGTTCAGTTGTGGTTACAGTCGGGAAGGAAAGCTCCTACAGAAAAGCAGCCTTCCCCCCCAGACTTGATCCCTGACTGTATTTGGATAGATATGCTTACATTATAGACAGAGGTAAGTATCTGACAACCTTTTATTCTTGTGTCAGCTATGTAGTACTGGGAATTAGAAAAACAAAAATTTTACTTAAAACTGAGAGAGTATGATTTACGCATAAATGCAACAAACATGGAACCTGCCATAGTCCAGGCTTCAGGAAAAACAGCACTCATGACACAGTATCTATTTTAAAATAGCAATCTTCTCTTTGTTTTGCCTTTTGCCTTAGCTCTATTTTCTTGTTGCCTAGTTAGCTAGTTTGGTTGATATGTTGTCTTTCTGCCCAGGTTTCACGTGATTCCTTATCTTACAATGCATTTTGGCTGCTAATTTTAGAAATATATTCCAATTCTTTTCTAATACATAATGATTTGTAGTGCCAAATGAAGGATCAAGATATGATTGTAGAAGCTCCTGTGTATAAACAGTTTCTGTTGCAGAGAATTCACAATATCAAGTCAGACAGATGGAATGGGGGATGGGTTGACAGCATAAGGTAACAATTTAAATAGACTTAAACAGAAAAGGCAGAGAAATAGGTTTCATATATTTGACCGGTGTCTAATGAGACTAATGTTAGATGTTATGATAAGTAACGTTTGCAGAGAGATTAAGAGGATAAAGGTGGCGCTTTAAAAATGTAGCATGGAAGAAACTGCAGGACGGCTTGAAGAAAGGAGAAAATAAGATAATCAAACCTGGAACCATTGGAAGATTGCCGGTTGGAGTAAATGACTCCGTGAACTTGTAGATCTGATATGTAAGGTGGAGCTAAGTAGTGGTGACATGAAAGGAAAAGACAAGGAACCTGTTTTCATGAAAGAGGGGTGATACAAAGGAGGAAATGAAGTGATGAGGGTAGTGAGCCAGGAGGATGGGCAGTTTTGAATGAACTTTGAAGGGAACAATATGGCTTGCATCAAGGTGGGAGTTGCATTACAAATGTATTTGACATGAGACGAGGAATTGAAAAAGTCTGCCCAGAGAGACAAATTGACATCTGTAGGTAGAAGTAGCAAGATGTGGATATAGCTCTGAAGAGGAGGTTAAGCTCAAGATGACACAAATGAGAACTAGGGGTAAGAGTGACTGGGAGTATAATGATATTTCCATTGTGATGGAGCCACTGAGGAAAATGGAAACCCCGTGGGGAAAGATTTGAAGTGTTGTTTTGGTCAAGATGTCAGACAAGGGGGGAACAGGTTTTTAGTAGGCATACAGATGGATAAGTTGTTGTCATAGCAATGATATATTTGAAGGCTTTTGGAGAAAGGATAGAGATGGAGAATAGCCAGGAGTGATGAACAAAGCCTTGTGGACATCAAGTGAAGGAGGGAAAGAGGAAGTGGAAAGCCCACTTACCAAGGTGTTAAAGGAATAATTAGCAAAGTGGGAGGAGAACAATGAGAGGACAGTGCCTCAGAAGCCAGTGGCTGGGTTTGAAGTAGTTGTTAATGGTCTCATAGGCTGCTCTGAGTTTGACCAGGACAAGATCAAGGCCCTTCAAGTGGAACAAAAGAAGTTAATCCAAAATGTTGGCATCAGTTTCAGTGAAGTTGGGTCGTGGAGGTAGAGAGAACCAGAATGGAGATGCTCAAAAATGGAGTTGGAAGAGAAGAAGTCCAGAGGTGAAGAAAGATTTGCAATAGATGAAGGGGAGCAGCTTTGAATAATTGTCTTTGATAATTTTGTTGTTTGTTTGAGACAAAGCTTCTTCTAAAGTATCCCAAGGCTGCTTAGAGACATAACCCCCTCCCCCAAAAACAGCACTTTAAACTCGCCACAGCCCCGCAGAGCCTAGCACACACCCAGAAGAGGCTGATTGAATCACCTGTTAGATAAAAGTGCCAAAGAGCCCTGCTAAAGTGTGTGATCTATACAGACACTGCGGAGCTGGGGTCGAACTAATGTGCTGCTTCTCCCAGTAAAGCGTGGGTGGTGGGCTGCTGAGATCTAAAAAAATCTAAACCACCCAAGTGCCTAAGTTAGGCTTTCAACCCAAGTACTTAGAAACACATAGCCAGCAAAAATCTTATTACAGGTGAATGTTTTTTCTTTAAATACAGTATTTTCATGGTGAAAAATGATGGCTGATCCTTCTGTTTTAACCTGTAGGAAATGAAAGTCGTAATTGAAAAGATCCATGTTGGTATTTGTTTTTTATGTAGCCAGTAGAATGATAAGAGGGGAAGGAGACTGCAGCAATTAACAGTTTGTGCATTTCAAATGGAGGGGGAGGGAGCCAGGCCCTGCACAGGCTTTTACTGTATGTAGGAAGTAGACAGGTTTGCCACATGAGCTTTCTTCTCTCCCATACCCCTTGGTGATTTTCTGTTTTGCCCTTAAATAGTAAAGCCATCCTCCGAATCAACTGGCACACTGTGCAGCCAGTATATGTGGCCTTCTAGTGTTTGGGCAACATTAGAACCCAAGATTGGTGCATACTTCAGTGGGTTAAAGGCCTAAAAAAGTAGTTAAATATCAGTAGTCTTATTGTTAGATTGCTCCAGGATTCAAGTAAAGGATTAACCAGGCCTTAGGCTAAAATGTAGTTGTTTGAGTATATTTCCCCCCACAATAGTATAGTTTGTCTGTTTCACGTATGTGACTTTTCCCTTTTCTGCTTGTAAAATGGAAATCCTATTTGATGAAGGAACTAAATCTTTAATTCAAGTCAGCAGGCCGCTTCCATGCTCTCTTGCTTTTCCAATATGAGAGAGTGAATGCCTCTCTTGAGGACTGTTACATCTTTCCCGACTTGAAAGTATTTAATTATTAAGCTTCTCTGTGGTTTTCTGTCACCTGGAAAGCTTGTCATTATATCTGTAGTAGACAGGTCATACAGGGTCTGCTTGTTTTAATGTAATAATATACCTGATTCTGGAACTGTAAAATAAGTTCTGTCTCCAGAATTGATATAGCTTGTAGGTAGTGTTTGATGAGTTAAGGCTGAGAAGGCTAAAGAAGCAAGGTACACTAGATGCGAAATGAACTGCAAGTCTGGGCAGGGAGGGGAGTATATAGGTACTGGGCTGTAAAGAGCTTCCTATATCAAATAGTAATTGTTTAAGTTGATTAAGGAGTAAAGCTAACAAATACACAAAGGGTCCATACCAATTCCACTCAGAGCTCGGATACCCCATTCACATCCAGTCAGATTCTTTTTGAATAGCACTGTTATGGGCCTAGCCTGCAGCACAGTCAAGATTAGGAAGGGGGCAGACATAAGTGCCCCTTGGTTCCTGTTTACCTGCTGCCATGGTGCAAGACAGAACTTCAGCACTGTCCATGGTTTAGCTCCATAGCTCCAACTACCTGCTGAATTTTTGTCCTTATTTTGTTTTGGTTGAATCTAGTTTATTTTGTGCTTTTTTTTGCTTTTGTTGACTAATTTGAAAAAAATGTTTGGGATGCCGGTCTCCTGACCATTTCCCCTTTCACTCAGATAGATGATGCACCGTCATAGCAGACTCCCAGGTCTACTGCATTCAAAAACTTTCCATCTCACAAGTCTACCATCTTTTTGTTTAGAGACACTCTGAGTGGGTCTCTATCTGTATCCTATTAGTAGGTGATTAAAGGCCCACCACACAGAGTGCATGCCACAAGGTCGCATGGAGTTTTTGCAGACTCCCCTACTTAGTTTTGTAGATTGTATACCTGAAGCTTGGTTTACATATTCATCTCCCTTTACTCCTTGATATAGATATCCAGTTTGGTAGATAGAGCTTGTATCTACACTACTGTATTGTACTGTATCTATTAAGGGAAATCACAAAATTAAATGCGTGTTAGTTCCTGAACATGTTTCACTGAGTATGGAATTTACTTTGACAATCGCTTGGAGAAATTATCCTATGGTAATTTTAGTTGTCCACAAAGACTTCACAATTTCCACTCTGTCCTTAGTAACCAGAGTCCCTATATCTGGGATACTTGTTGACATGAACAACTGGTGCCTCCCAAGACTGGGGGTGCACCGTGATGGCGAGTGGTGTCAGCAGCAAGCGGCGAGCGAGGACCCCCCGCAGACCTTGGCAGCAGGGGCGTAGGGGGCTGGCGAGCATGGAGCTGCCCGCAGATGCCAGCATGCAAACGTGAATGGTGCATTAACGTTTTACACACCTCGTTAAAAATGTACTAAAAAATATTCTACCACCCTGGTTAAGAATCACTGCTTTGGAACCTGTTTCTCTATATTGCTGCATTACAGTGAACAGCAGGAAGGTGTTTTGCTGCATTACAATGAAGAGCAGAAAGGTGTTTGGTTTTTTTAAAATTCTAGATCAGAGGTGCTCAACCCCTGGCACACAGGCCATGACCTTTGTGTGTGGGCGCAGTGCAGAGCACAGTGCCAGGGCTGAGCAGGAGCAGTACACGCAGACTAGCTCCATGTCAGTCTTCTGACCTGCAGGTCCAAAATTGGAGCAACACCTTTCTAGATGTATCTATAACCACTTTAAAATGTGAAGAGCCTTTAGGAAAAGACAGGATTATAAAATATGGTATGGGCAATAACTAATGTTTATGAAGCATCTTGAGATGCTTAAATGAGAATTCATACTAGGTACACAGCTGATGATCATTGGTTTTTATTGTCAACTATATTTTTATAAATTTTATGTCCCGATTAGAAAAACGAAAGTCGTCAACTCACCCAGATTCAGTATATAGCATGGCCAGATCATGGGGTTCCTGATGATTCCAGCGACTTTCTGGATTTTGTGTGTCTAGTACGGAAAAAAAGGGCTGGCAGAGAAGAGCCTGTTGTTGTTCATTGCAGGTATTCATTTTTTTTGACTTTCTTAAATATCCTAACTGAAATCCTCTTCTCACTGGGTGTTCTCTGTGTTGTATTTTGTTTGTTTCCAAAGTCATAGTTCCAAATTTATATATATGTTCCCACTAAAGGAAAGAAAGATGAGGATACAAAATTTGAATTTGACTGATAATTTTCCAGAGGCTATCTAGTGTTAGCATCAAACATGAGGACAAATTTCTGAAGAAAACAATCATTTAAACAATTGCATTATGATATGTCTGAATAATATTGTACGTTGTTGCCAAGGAGGTGGGGGGGGCAAACTACTTCCCCTTTAGGAGATTGCTGTATTCACTAGGTAGGTGTACTGCAGGGATCAAAAAGAGCTGGAGAAATCTTACATCCATATGTCTAGCATATATGATCATGTGAAAGGCACATTTTCACTAAAATCTCTAGAATACTGAATATTTTAGTGTGCACTTAAGGTTCACGCACTTTTTGTAACAGTTGATTCTTTTGTTATAAATGAAAATAACTGTTTTCTTTAATTTAGTGTCATATATAAAGCTGAAATAGTTTCATTGCTGCTTTTATTAAATACTTTTAATGGCTGTTAGCATTTTCTCAATTACATTTAAGATCTCCATAAGTAGACTCTTGAGGGTGCTTAACATAAATTGAAGAGACTAATACTTGAAATCCAATTTTTGCTTCAAATGAGCATTCACATCCCCTTGACTTCACTGAGAATTGGTCTGTGAACAGGATTTGGGCTTTCATCATCATGGTGTACAGGTAGCATTCTTATTTGTGAGCTAAGATGTGCCCATTTTGTAGGAAGAGAAACTAAGGAAGGGTACAAGAACACAGTCAAGTTACATTTTATCATTTAATGTTACAGTAAGACTTAAGACTGTTGAAAGAAATTGGCAAGGCTGGTAGAAGCAAATAAGAGTTGCGCTGGGACACACACTCAAGACCTCCCAGAGCTCGCTCTCTTGTCTGATAGCCGCTGTCAGGCTTCAGTGTGAAGCAGCAGTAAGCAAGTGGAACTTTTCTCCTCCAGTGTGGTCACAAGCTCGGCAAGGTGGTAGTATAGATAAAGCCTACGTGAGCCTGCAGACCTTAGACCATGGAAGAATAGCTCTGAGATTTGTGAGCTGTCTTATTCACTTCAGAGTGACACCATTTAGCTGCCCAGTGATAATTTAAATGTCAGTACTGATAACTATTTCATGCCTCATGGAAAGGATGAGAGCTGAGACTGCAGAGCTGAACAATTTGCTATTTGTAATGCCTCCTTTTGATGACCCAGGTAAGTGGCAGCTGCAAGATAGCCATTACTTCCACACTCTAAAAGGAAACCTGTCTGACGAGCCTAGCAGAGCCCATGGGCATATTCAAGCCTCACTAGGGGGAGCCAAACACAGATGCAAGGATAAAAACCATATGCTGTATGCACACACGTTTTTAATACATGTATAATGTACTGGAATTCTGCCTCATTTGGGCAGAGCATATGGGTAGAACTTGGAAATATACTCTCACCTCAGATTTTCCAATTTGAGCAGAGAGAATTTCAGAGCTGTATTAGAATTGATCTTTTTTTCTTTGCAAAAGGAGTCCCCCAAAAATGGCAAGTGGATTTTGCAAACATATTGGAATATGAAATAGTTTTAGTTGTGTATATTTTTAAACTGACTAGATTTTAAGTTAGTCTCTCTCTAAGTAGCTTGTCTCTGGCAATAGATTGTGTTGCTAGCAGAACCAGAAGGAGTTAATAGTCATTTTAAAATCTGTACAGCTGAACACTTACTGCTCTTGAGAGAGAACTATATAGGGAGAAACTATCAATATTTATGCTCTTTAAAATTAATGATTTCCCAGTAGATAAAGCTCCTTTTACTTTATTACCCAAAAGCATTCAGATGTGGAAAAAGTGTTAACTTTAATTACAAGGACTTTAATCATTCTGTTTTTTAGGATGGAATAGATTTTTTTCTAGTTTTCTAAAAATTAGTTATAGTGAAAAGTAGATTCAATCTAATTCTCTCATGGTATCTTTTTATTTTGATAGTTGGAACATAATGCAGATAAATTTTTCACATTAAGGGTAGTGTTAGCCTCTTTTCATTGAGCAGCTTTTCATGCAGTTATTTATTACATTTGTTCCTAATAATAAAATTCTGTGCAAATCACTATATGATATGGTAACCTTTGATGCCATCTTCTGGACAGAATTAAAGGAACATGTTAAAATGATAATGATAAATTAAACTAAAAATCAAAGTAAAAACTGTTTATGGTAACATAGATTCTTTAAAATGTATACTCATCAAGTGTGCAATTTATTTAAGTCACCTTACCTGGGATAGAAATATTCTGAAATGTTAATCAGCTGAGGTAATTATACTGACATTTAGAAATATAGATTCTAGAACACAGTGGTAAATGAAAAACATATTTCCCATCTTTAAAAAAGGGACAGTGTACATATTTTCTTATGACAGTTTTCAAACTTCCTAAACTCATGCAACTCTTTCATATCATTTCTTCTGCCATGGAGCCCCTTACCCAATCCTGGGAGCTGACAGGGAACCCAGTGACCCCCCAGCAGTGGCTGTGCACCACCTCCCTGCCCGCTCCACATTAACCCCCAGGCTCTCCGTGGAGCCCTGGTCACAAAGCCGCAGGGATCCAGGAAACACAGTTTGAAAAACACTCTTACATGAAATACCTGAATTTAAAGCAAGTTTACCATGCTGAAAAGCAAAATGCCTTTTGTCAGTCTTGGATTCTTTCTGAGATTTCCTAACTGTTATAAATTGTATATATACTCACAAAGTAAACCAGTTTGCTTTTATTTTTTAAGATAAAGGCCATTTTGAATGAGACCTCCAACCATGTTGTCACTTTTAAACCTATATTTCATAGAATCGTTTAACAGTTTTATTACTAAGGGTTCCTACTAGTTGTTTTACGTAGACACATTCCTAGAGTTTTTGAAGTTTACATTAGCTGGATACTCCAAATTACTTTTGAACCAGAGTAAGTGCTTTTTATTTATTGTTCTTCTAAGTAATTATTATCCTACTCACCTGTCTGATGCTTCTGAGTTGGAACAATGTGCTAGGGTTGAAGAAATGGGGCCCATTAAACTGAAAACCCCTCCTCCAAAAAAAAAACCCAACAACTTGAAGACGGCTTTCTTTCAGAAACTGAAATTTCTGGTCACGACAGGTTGATAGGAAGTTCTGTGCTGGGCAGGATTACCGTTTATGGTGAGCAGACCGCACTTACCTGACCAGCAAGTGGAGCTCTGGGAAGTCCACTCCTTTGAAACCTGGAGTTTTCGGGTGGGCTGTTTTTTAACCACACTTACGAAGGTGGCCCAAAACTGGATCCTTTCTGTCTTCCTGAGCCTGCTTCAAAATAACTCTCACATGCTGTAAGGCCTCTTCACAGGGGCACCCAGAAGGCCAGGGCCATCTTTTGTACTTCCAGGAACTCAATACCACACAGCTTGTCTGTACTCTTTACTCAAACGTAGTCATTACTGATGCGTTGGGAAGAAACCAGGCACAATGCCACAAGCCAGCCTCTTGGGGCAGCCTTGATCCATCATACAGAATTTAACAGAAACTGTTGGCCAGACAACACTATATTTTGTCAAGTAAATTGCCTAATGCAACTTACTTCCTGTATATTACTGTGTAAATGAGGTAACAGGATCTTGTACCCAAGGGCTCCCTCTGCTGTTGGAGAAGATGCCTAACTTAGATCCCATTTTATCCTTTCCCTGCAGCAAAAATCAACTGATTGTCAGTGGAAGCAAGACTGCACTGGGGCTCCAACCAGCCGTAGTGTTGTCCCTGCTGACTGACCATCAGCTGACCATCTCCTGGCTTGGGACCACAGCAGGACCAGTTCCAGCCCGGGTGTGGTCCCAACCCAGTTGATTGTTGAGTACTCAGCTTTCAGGCTTGCCAATGCAGGGGGAGCCTGGGATCATGATCTGAGGCTTCCCCTGGACTGGCAAGCAGGACATGACTGGGATCTTAACCCCTGTCCCACAGTTGCATGTCCTGCTATTCACATAGGATTAGGATAATTATTGGGATCAGGGATCAGATCCCATTGCACCTTTTTAAATGAACACCTGTCATCAGCCTCAAATGCAGCTTTCATCCAGAGTTGTTACAGGATATTCAGAACTCTACAGTAATTGTCATGCGTTTTGGGGCTCAGCACACTGATGTCCGCCATCTTCCAAGCCTGCTGAATGTTTGGCTGGACAGTGAGTTTCCACAAGCTTACTGTGACCGTAATACCCTTCAACACTAGGTCTCTAGATAATTAGGTAAAATGCCTTTCTCTTGCTAGTAGGACAGCTCCATCAGACTGACTTGTTTTTACTGTAAATGTGATCTGAAGAGGGGTCATAATGAAGCTTCTCAGTTGATTGGTTTTTAGAGAAGTCAATCTGCATAACTAGCTGCATTTCAATATATTTTCTAGTACTCAGGCACCCATTGAATACATATATTTTACAACATGGTGCAATGAACAGCTTTCATGTAGTCGGTTAAAATTTCAAATGTAAATAGATTTTTAAATAAGTTACAGCAAAACATCCTATCTTGAAAGCCGTCTGATTTCATAGTTTAAGAGCAAAGACATATGTAGAACTTGTAACAATGGAAACCTAAAGTAGTAGCGTAAAAATATGTATGCTGTTGGTAAGATGTTATTGCTTTATTGTTACCCAAGTATTAGAACAGCAAACAGTAAGGTAACAATAATATGAGGTGAAATTGTCGATTTAATGTCACGGGTAGGTTTATGGCAAAGATCTTGTTCAGTGCTTTGAAAAGTCTGCCCTGTGTTACTTTTATATCCAGACAGGGCTGAATTGTTACAGTAACATGCATAAAATCACTTGCCCCTCATCTTCTAGTATAGTCAGCTGTCATCAGAAGCCTGCAATTAAAATAATCATAGATGTCCACCTTGGGTTTACTTAGGAATTTAAGACGTTGATATTAAAATTCAACTTTTTGCATTTTCAGGAGGATAATGTTTTTCTAAAAAGTTTAAGGTGAAAAACTTACTGACGCCTTTTCCTTTTACAGTGCTGGGATTGGACGGACAGGGGTTCTTATCACGATGGAAACAGCTATGTGTCTAATTGAGTGCAATCAGCCGGTTTATCCATTAGATATTGTGAGAACAATGAGAGATCAAAGGGCCATGATGATCCAAACCCCTGTAAGTATATTATGTTTGCTACAGTTAAAATAGTAGTTTCATACTGCGTGCAGTTTTGGGCACCACACTTCAAGAGGGATGTGGATAACCTGGAGAGGGTCCAGAGAACGGCCACTGGTATGGTTAAGGGCTTGCAGGCCAGGCCCTACAAGGAGAGACTAGGGCACCTGGACCTCTTCAGCCTCCACAAGAGAAGGTTGAGAGGCGACTTTGCGGCTGCCTATAAATTCATCATGGGGGTGCAGAAGGGTATAGGTGAGGCTTTACTCACCAAGGTGCCCCTGGGAGTTGCAAGAAATAATGGCCATAAGCTAGCAGAGAGCAGATTTAGACTGAACATTGGGAAGAACTTCTTCACAGTTAGGGTGGCCAAAATCTGGAATGGGCTCCCAAGGGAGGTGGTGATCTCCCCTACCCTGGGGGTCTTCAAGAGGAGGTTAGATAGGCATCTGGCTGGGGTCATCTGAACCCAGCACTCTTTCCTGCTTATGCAGGGGGTCAGACTCGATGATCTATTGAGGTCCCTTCCGACCCTGACATCTATGAATCCATATCCCATTACATAGTTGTTTCACCCTCACAGGAAACGAGAAGGGATACCTACAATTTTGAAAGGGGGCACTTTAACTTAGGGCATAGACCACCCTAACAATTACACTGGTATCAGATGGTAAGTTGTTGCACCGTAACTGTTGTGCTTTTTCAGGTCTTATACATTCATGTTGCTATAAGATGCAACAGTTATGTCAAAGTAGTTGGTGCACGCTCCCGAAGTGGCAACTCCTCCTCCCCTTTTAAAGTGGTTGAAAGTTATGTCTATCCATGGCCGTAGAGTGGATACAGCCTTGGTGCCCTCTCAACTAGTGCTGCTCAATTTATTCAGCCCTGCTGACCAGATAAACAGCACAAGGCCAGTCTGCAGCCTGCATCCAGCTTGGGGTCAATTTGAGGTGTAAGCTGCACAGCAGCCTGGTCCTGCTTAGCATATCCTTCCATGAAATGATGCTGCCCACCAGCTTGGGCCCATGGGCCACAGGTTGAGCACCATTAATCTAGAGGAATAAGATGTAAGCCATGTTGACAGAGTGCAGTTCTCTGAAGGGGAATGCCAGATGTGGGAGAGAGAAGGTGAGCAGGAGAAATTGGAGTGCATCTGCAGCAAATGTAGAGAGGAGCAGGGAAAATGGGGATGTGGGTGGTACAATCCAGTTACATTATGCTGCTTTGACATTGCAAAGGACAATGTTAACTCAACCTTATATTGATTCAGTAAAGGAGAAATTGTAGGAAAAAGGTAATCACATATTTACTCAAATCCAAGATAAGGTTCAACTTAAGGAAAAGACACCTCACCTTAGATTGGATGTGGTCTGGGGCAGGTATCTGGTGCAGGTTTGACTCCAGCCCTGACCCCAGGGAGACCATGCAGGGCAGCCTCAGCAGGGAACTCAGGAGAGACCCTGCAGCAGCAAGGGAGCTGCTTTGGCTCTGGGGCCAGGGCTGGAGCTGCCACTGCCTCCTGGCTTGACTGGAGCTGGAGCCAGACCCACCACCTAGGGTGGGGGCCAGGTGGGGCAAGTGGCTGGGGAGAGGTAGGCATGGGCAGGGCAAGTGGCGCTGGGGGGCAGGTGCTAGAGGGTGCAGTCATGTTGCCTGCCCCCATCACTGCTTGCCCCCACCTCCCCTGCTGCTGCTTTCCCCACTGCAGTGGTGGCTGGGGATGGATTTGAGGCAGTGTTCTAATAATTGTATTCTGTACATGGAAAATTATAATGTATAATTTTCTGTGTATAGAATCTATTTATTGGGAGGGGGTCATCTTTAATGTGAAGTTGTGGTACTTCAAAAATAATTTTATTCTATTCTGGGACCATCAATATTAAAATGCTTTAATCATAACCCTATGGGTAGTGCTAAGCGTCACATCACAGCATCTGTTAGAAGGAGTTTGGGTGCTCTCACTGTGTATTTCCATATTTTAACATATTTGGATTTAAGTCTAACTGTAAGTCTGTATTTTTCCTGGGTTTTTGTAATGCTTAGTTTTAAGAAAATGACAACATTTCTATACTTTTCCCTAAATTACTTGTGCTCTGAATTTTAACTCCACTATGCCATGGGGAGTGAGTTGAGAACAGGTTTAAAATCAGCGTAGTGACTTACATCAGTATCAAAGTCAGATGCTACTTCCATCTGAGATCTGATCCTGTTGACTGTTAAAGAATATAAGGCAAAATTTATGAAACCCCTAGTGCCGTAGGAGCCTGAAGGTATGGACAGATGAAACAATTGCCCTGAGGTTAGGAGAAGTGGGTGGAACTTCCTGCATCTCAGCTACTGTATAGTATCTATTTCTTCTGTCCTCGGTAAGTGGTAGCTAAACGAGAGCAATTTAACCCTGAATGAAGCAGCTGTTAAATTACACAGTTCAGCTTCTGTTTTGTAGGGTAGAAAAGATGTGTGGAAACAGTGGCGTGGATCACTTTGACGTGCAGAAAGTTTCCTCTCCCTTTAACTCAACAGAAATGTCTTGTCTGCTCATACCCTACTATTAGTTTGACATATTATCAGCGGGTCCTAGGCATTTCTGTCACTTAGATGTTTTTGACATGTTGCCAATGAGCAGTTGTACAAGTTTTATTCACAGAGGATAATGTTTTAATTAAAAATGTTAAATGCAATTTTACATCTCTTCCATGATAACAATTTAGGTCCAGCTTATTACACTAACTGTAGGAAGGTTCACATCCTTGCTGCTGTTCTTCCAGGCAAATCTAAGGAGAGTTTAGTGCTTCTGAACACACACTTGTCAAATAAACTTCTCTTACATGGCCAGCAATATCCATATCATAAGTCCCTTAATGCTTTCCAGTGCTTTTCTTTTACTAAACAATTACATCTTTCAGAAGAAGGTAGGGGAATGTGATAGATGAACAGCAATAGAGGATGTTACAGAGTATAGATACCCTACATATAGTGTAAGGTGAATTATTTACTATACTATCTCTTCCCAGATGTTAAAGAAATTATTGGATTGTTTTCAGTGTCAAATCTCTGTTCCTTTTATAGTCCCCCTTAATTTTAATTTTCTGTTTTGGTAGATGCCCCTTTGAGCTTCAAACAAAAATGTCAGTTTGGAAAGGAGGCTGACTTGTATGAAGGTCTTTTCCTTTCTGAAACATAGCTGCTCCAAAACAAATTCCCGCCTTAATTTTTCACCTTAAAGCAATCTGGGAACCACATGCACTTGCTTCTTATAGCATTTTGCCTGTTAATTTAGGTAGCAAAAGTCTTTTCTGTGCATCCGAATCTGTATTTAAATGAACCAGAAATTCCTTCATAATTAGTGTTCCTGTTTATTTCATGATGTAGCATGCCAGGTTGATAATTACCAATCCATCTAAAAGAATCTTGTTGATTTAATTTACTCCCTATGTGGGATGAAATATGTCCTATTGTGTGAAATGTTTTTAGCTGGATTTGTGTATATACACTGCATATGTAGAAAAGAAGAAGGCTAAGTCTCCATAGGTCAGTTCTTTCTTTATTGATTATTTTCCCATTGTGTTCTGATTTTTTTTCTGACCGTTTCAGTATTATTATTTTTTAAATCTGTATTAAATTCTCAGAGAAGCAAGGAATCTGTGGTTGCAGTAATATGAATCCATTTAACTATTTCATCAAAAGTGCCATGGATGGAATGAAACGCTATGTTTTAATAGAAGATCCCTATAAATAGCATGCCCTCATGAGTCTGTAGTCTTTCTCCTGCCTTTGCACATCCTGAAAGCTACATGTGCTGTACACAAGATGGCACTGTGCCATTCTTCCACCGTGTGTGTGTGTGTGTGTGAGAGAATCAAGGGGACTCTAAGAAGGGTATGTCTTTTAGGGGAGTCTTCAAACAACAGTAAGCAAGCTAATTTATACAAACACTTATAAATCTAATGATATCCATGCACATCCAGTGAGATGACAAAAAACAGTTATCAAGTGGCTGGGTGAAATAAATATATTATAAGGAATTTGAAAGCTATAAATACTGGCTTTCCTGTGGTTTACAGTATTAAACAGCACTTAGTATTAGCCTTGGCGCTTTGCAAGATTGTGGCAGCTAGGGTGGGGTGACTGGAGCCACTGCCTCGGGTGCTGACTTGGGGGAGAGGGGTGCAGAAAAAGAGTACAACACCACAGGTGCACAATCACACTATCGATGAGGTGGCAACTGGAAGTCACCACTGTCCTTTGTGTGGCAGCTGCCCCGGGCACCCAACCACCTTGGTACATCTCCAGATAATGACCTGCCTTAATGGTTCAATCTGGTTATTGTTTTACTTTTTTCATTCAGTTAAGACATGGTTTTAGTGACTTGCATCTCAGGAGCTGCTGAAGCTGAATCTGAATGCTTTATTGCAAAGCATTTGGAGCCAGGCTTTTTCTGACATAAAGCTCTGCTTTCTTATTCTAGAGCCATGACAAATAGGAGAAGGTAATACTTCAGAATTGCTGGGGTGGGGGGGTTGGTACAACACTAAGATACTTTAGTAGAGTAACTGTTAGGCTGTTAAAAGTGGGAAAATTTAAGACTAGACAAACTGCAGCAGGGGATGAAGGATTACTTAATTATACAAGTTTTGAGAGTGGTGTAATCGTGTGTGCATGTTGAGTAAATATATATATTACTTATTTTCATTAAAAAGTTCCAGTTTTTGCTTTGTAATAAGACTGCAGTATAAGCTCTTGTTCGGTGTTTTCTAAGCATGCTCCTCAATAGGGATACAAGTGCCAAGCCCCTGCTTTTTGGTGAGGTGCAGAGGTCACCAGTCTGCCTTGTGAGGACGATTGGTGCCTTAGCGACCTCTCCTATGTCCAGTTTATAGTGTTCAGTTCTGTTTGTTTTCCATTAACTTAGTCCACCTTCTTTTCAGAGTCAATACAGATTTGTTTGTGAAGCTATTTTGAAGGTGTATGAAGAAGGAATTGTTAAACCCCTAAAGACATTGCTGCATAAATAAAGAGCAAAAGGGCTGGGATACAGATTGAAGAATCCTGTCCTCTAATGAACTTGGCAGCCTTCATCGTGCCATAACACTGCTCGCAGGAAATGGTATTGGAGAACAGCAAAGAATTGACAAAGGACTTGGAAGACTTCAGCACTGTTGCACTTTATGTTGAAACAAAAATCAGTCTCTAAAACTCTATAACTTTCATGTGTTTGAAGACTTTATTTTCATGCTTGGCTCGGAACAAACAAACTGTAAACTGAAAGAACTAAGTGTGTTCAGGGTAACTTCCGATATTTCATTGTAGTGCCATATACTCCCCCTTCTGATTCAATTGCTACAAACAAGGCTTGGAATTATTTCGCTCTGTTATACACCTACATCTTTAAAGAACAAAAAAAACCAAAAAAATACACTAAGCTATGGTCTCTTCCAGTGCTAGGTGATTTGCCATGTACAGATTCTCCATTTTTGTTTTTTTTAAAAACATTAGCAATATTGCCAATATTAGAAACACACTGCCTACTGATGCAGCACTTTGCCCTCCATCCTGTTTTGAGACCAGCTAGTTATTAAAGGAAGGTTGGCATCTGTGTTAACCCAGCAGTAGCTGCATAATGCCCACTTACCAGCATCTTGTGAAATATAAACGATATTGCTTTGAGTTAATGACAGGACTTAGTGCCCAACACTGGTGTATTCAGATTCACTTGAGTTAACATTACATTGTGGGAACTAGTGCATGCATTATGTCTTAACCCCTTAAGTGCCTTGAGACTTACAATGTATGTCTAATGAAGAAGGCACTCGTATGACCCTTTGGGGGTAGTATCATCCTTTCATATTTTTTCTTCATGGGTTCGCATTTTTAAATGGCCCTTGGTGCTTGGAGTATGTTACTGCAAGGGGTCACAGAAATACCATTCCCTCTTTCCTTTTACAAGTACCTGCATGCTACTACAGGTAGCAAAAGCACCTCTCCCTACTTAATGAACGAGCATTGTTTGCTGCTGTGTAATTTTGTGGAAAATCTGACACATTCCTTTCAACTGGGAACTTTTATTAACAGCTTAACATGAAATGCCAGTAGGTTGTTAGAATTTGATCCTCTCTCTTACCCTCCCATTGAGAGAAGCAGTCTCATTTGATTAGAATATACCTTTTTTACAGCACTGATACTTAAGCTTAAACTGACAGTCAAATGTGATTAATTCTTTTCCATCCCTGTTAACTAACTATTTTTCTAAGTCATCATCAGTTGATTTCAAGCCATGTTCGTACTGGACTGCGTGTTTTTGTTTTTTTTTTTTTGGAGCAAGACAAGACTGTCAAGTTTCCCAAAATTTTAATTCCTTAGTAACCCCAGTCATTTTCTGTTATCCTTGTGGAAAATTAAATTGTTCCAGTTTGTATGTCTTGTTTCTTATTTAAGTCATTAGCATGTTTGTAACAAAAGACATATGTCTCTGTCTGATGCAGTATCTGAGCTCATTCTAAAGATGTGTATATTTTGTCCCTTTCAATACTTTTTTCAAGTATGGAAGAAGCCAAGTGGTAAGCAAGGTGTCCATCTTGATATACAGGAAGAAGAGATTCAGTCACTTTCTATACTGCCCTGTAAAAAACTAATATTACGTGCCGTGTATTTAAAAGTTTTAAGTTATTTTATTGGTTTCCAGAAAATTATTATCTGATCAGTTTTGTTAATAACCTATATATTGCCTAGAATTAAAAGATGAAAAGTTCTAAGCTAAAGAAGATTAAATATTGTAAAATTCTTCTATATAATACACTGTGTTCCTTGGACAGCTAGAAAAGACCACAGTTGTGAAGGATATGAACATACAACCAATTTACTGCAGGTCAGAAGGGACTGGGCTTTACTGAATATCGGGTGCTCTATGGTAAATGCATGTATGTATGTACACTCTTACCACATACTCTGTGGTAGTCAAGTCATGGCATGTACATGCTCAGGTCATGGCATACACGAGCAAACCCATGCACACACACTCAGCTGGAGTCATGGCACATGCACGCTCATGTCAGCTTGTGCAAGTGCACACACACATTTTCTCTGTCTTTTTCTCTCAAGTCATGGCACATGCACGCAGACACTCAAGTCATGGCACACGTCTACACACACTCGAGTCAAGTCATGGCACATGCGTATACACACACTATCTACTGTGATTTAACTTGCAGTTCCTGCAGGGTAAGAGCATGCCATGAGCACAACACAGGGCAGCTAACACATGGAAAATCCCTTGTTCCTTTTTATACTGTTATAAATTACTTGTATGTCCATACCCAGGATTTTCAAAAACCAGTAAAAATGAATTCAGGTGAATTGAAGCTTTTGTTTCTGAATTTGTGACCATCAAGAGCCACAATGCCAAATAAAGAGATATAGAGTTTTAAATATTTTTAGAAATAAAAGAGAACATAATATTAGATGGGCTATAGCCCCTGTTTACAAAGAAATTCTACTACTTATATTTCTAGATTTGAGATTTGTGTCTATATTGTCCCTCAGTGAACAGATGAATCTTATTTGATGAAATTTGAGTGTAAACTGACTGCTGCTGCCAGAAAACTGACAATGTGGGCATGGTTCCTGAAGAAAGGGGTGGAAAATCATACCCACGTTGAAACTGAGAAGTAATTAGTCAAAATGGGCTACCAAAAACCATTCTAGTTCAGTTTGTAACCTCCCGCCTGTAAGAGGTGCCACCTTATGTCTGCAGGGGTGTTGGTTGTAGCTGTGTTGGTCCTAAGGATGTAGGTAGATGAGGTTCTTTGAGTAAATCTGATATGTTAAATTAGACCAATGCAGATACTTGGGAAAATTCTTCTTTGCAAGCTTTCAGGTACAAACACCTTATGTCTGCCATACTTGGAAAACACCTCTGAGGGCCTGGATGCCCAGCATCTAGGAAAGTACAGAGAACCATACAGTTCAAAAACTGTATCTCGTGTCAGTTCAGAGATCAAAAATAGTTTTGTTATGGGCTTCTGTTTTGACAACGAGAAAGGTAGAGATGCTGATTTAAAGGTGCTTTCTGTGAAAATATTTTTAAAAGATGTTCTCTCTTTTACTGACTATATTTGACAAAACACAAAAGAGCACAAGATGTTTTACTGCACCTAGAGTCCCAAGAATACATGGGAAAGCACCTTTGGATACCAAGCCCAACAGCAGCTGTTTCCATTTTGATGGCCAGGCAAAACAAATGTTTTACCACTTGATTTTAGAAGGAAAAATAGTAGCGATATCTGGTTTGAATTTCAGTTAATTTGCAGCAGACATGTTACCCTGTAATGAAAGTTTAAGATTTGATCTTCCTTGTGACAACATTTTGAGATGTAACGTTGGTTAGGTGGAGGACTAAATTAAGTTAAGTACTTAATATCTAAACATTTAAATTAAAAAATATACATCCATTATATTAAAATGAACTATCTTCATAGTAAATACATAAATGACAGTAATGGAATTGTCCTTTTTATATACCTTTATTGAGGGAAAGCAGGATAGAGAGTTTAGAGCAACATTGGATAGTGTTGGTGTATGGCATATTTAAACATTCTCTATAAGGTTGCCAAAGTGGTTTGAGTTCACAAGACCCATTTATACCACAATTATACATGGAATATATTTATTGGCTATTTTTTATTATTGTGTTGATTCTGGATGGAGGCAAAAGAAACAGATTTCTTTGTCTGAATTACCTTCAGTTGATTTAATGTAGTAACTAGTTGTAGTGGGGGAAACAAATCCTAGCTGTATGTTAAGTGAGCTGGTATGGCCACCAGCTGAAAAACAAACATCAGTGAGTTTTTAGTTTCCTTGGAAGCATGTAAGGTGGTAATTTAGAGTTTGTTGGAAAATAGTGAAAAAACATCAAAGCCTTTTTAACACCATGAAGCATTAGTACAACAGAATGATGTTCCTATCAGTTGTGGTATAAATGGCCTTGAAGTATTTTTCTATGGCCATAAAAGGAAGTCAGAACTGCTAAATATTTTACCTTGGGTTATGAAGATCTGTATCATTATCCTCAAAAGGAAAAGAAAGAGATATTTTTTAGGTTTTTTGTGCATTTCATGCTGTACAAAACATTGAATGTATCTTTCAGACATAACGACCTATACGTGGTTAATGTCATGACTGTTGGATTTTCTGGATAATTATTTTCATACCATTTGTTTAGAAGAAAAAATTAGGTGGGTGGGAAGAAAATGAAACAAAAAAAGTTAAGTTTGTAAAACTTCCATGATACAAATGCAGTTTTTTAAAGGTCAAGTGGTTTTCATTGTAAATAAGAGCAATATTATGATGGTTTTGTGCCAATGTATAATGAACAGGCATTTTTGTTTTCCTTTTGGCTTCATGATTGAAAACTGCAACTGCCATTTATTATTTCAAGTAGCTTTGAAGGTTTTTAATGGATAAATTTGGGGCTCTAGAGGGGTTTTTGTCTTGTTTTGGGGGGTTTTTTTGAGTGTTTGGGTTGGAGGCATGATTTTTTTCCCAGTTCTTTGTTTTTGATAAATATGAAGTAACAATCAGGTAGCGCCCACATCAGATGTCAGCCATTTTCTCTGACAAGTATGATTTCAGATAAGTTAACTTGATGAATTTTCCCAACATTTGGTGATACTGAAATTGGAGTTGTTTGGCATTTATTGTTAAGCAATAAAGCATAGTGCTTCTCACCTGTTTATTCCAAAATATACTATCTCAGTCACTAGGAACAAAAGCTGTGATTATTCATCTCATTACATTTAATATCAGTTGATGTTTCCTCCAGGTTTCATCTAATGACTTCGATTTTGAAATGATTTTAGTTGATGTTCTTCCTGCAGCAGAAGCACTTCTTTAGGGTAGCATCTTAATCGCACAGTCATTCTGCATCATTACAAGGGTTAACAAGCAGTTAGAGGCAAGGGGAGATGTCTGTTGTGGAACCACATAGCTGACACCTTCCCATGTGGAATCAGCAGAAACTTTGCGGTTTCCAGGGAAGGACCAAAAAGCAGCTGAACTCCGCAGTTCCACTGCACAGGGCAAGAGGAAGTGAAAATGGGTGCGTGGAGATGCTGCAGCTCCTGGCACATAGAAGAGCTGAATTGTGTGGTATTTCCACGCCACTATAGTGTGTTGGGGTGAGGGCAGGTGGAGGATGTTTGATGGTTCAGGGAAATAGCAAGACTATGGTCAGTTGGTGAACTGTACGGATCCACCATCCACAAATCTCCAAGTAAGGAACACGATATCCAGTCGGTGTGCTGTAGAAGTGCCTGCAGACTTGCTGTGCAGGTGACCCACGGCCCAGGTTTTAGGTAGAGAGCAAGTGGAGGATTCTTGTCCCAATTTCCTATTTGATTTCCCCAAACTTTGTACAAGTGACAGGAAATTTAACCCCTGGAGTCAACTGGAGTCTGTTTCCAATCTCTCACATTTCAGAGTCCATGTCCCTGCTCTGCTATACATTATGCTGTCTCAGAACAGCTGTTTGACTAGTCTTAGTAGAAGGCAGGTAGAGGGGCACCAGTATAGACTAAAAAAGAGATGTATAGTACAAGGTTTTCCAAGCAGAAAGAAGGCTTATATCATTGATTTTAATAGCCCGCTTTCCTTTAAAGTAAATATGGCATGTGTTTTATGATGGGAATAGCTCTTGTATGTGGTACAGGTTGGTTTGTTCTTTTACCATTGCCACAAGCCATGGAGCAATATGGGGGTCAAATGCTAAAGCTAAGTAACCATATCCATTATGTAATGGTGAATCCCACTTTATCCATTGAAACTGTAAAGATAAGTCTATTAATGGTGTTGGGGAAAGTGCTGGGAGGGAAAGGGAACTTGTTTGCTTTAACAAACCTACTTTTTCCAGTCTTATGTTGTCATACTATAATAGTGTGCTGAAGCTGAAATGGTTGGATTAGCAGCCTTCAGAGTTGGTAATAACAGCTGAAAATCACCTCTCTGCAGGTTACTGGCACCACCACAAGTCAGCGGGCTTCTTCAAAGAAGGGGTGAAACGGTGCATGGCTATAGCTTGCCCCTTTGCATGTGGATATCTGCCATCCATTATAATCCAAGTTGAGAGGAATTGTTCTTTTAGGGGAAAAAATGCACATGGATATGTTGAACCTTGATCAGCCGGAAATCAAATGTACTGGTTACTTTATGAACTGGATAATTGGAAGAAAATAGCTTCAAAATCCCTTATTCTATGAATAAACCTCAGCACTCATTTTTGCTTTACAAACTTTGGCTGACAACTTCTGGTGGTTGCATTACTTCATATTTAGCAAGTTTTTACTTTTCTAAGACTTTTTTTTCCTAAGTTTCTTGAATTTTGAATAGTAGCACTTTATCTGAAGCTTACTACTGACTGAATTA